CATTACAAACAGTATTTTACACTGTTATGGACCGTAAAAGTCATTGCCCTTACAGTAAGTGAATAGGCCAAGAGGATAATGAAGATAACCACAATGAAGCTGGACATATCGTTCCATGCCCGCTGCAGTGAAGAGGTGATGAGGTGAAGTTTAGGGTTGAGTCTCAGCAGATGCCAGAGTTTTACACAGGCCAGAAGAACCAAAAAAGCCATGAGATATCCCAGTGTAGCATCTATGACAGCTGTGTCATGGAAACTGGGAAACCTATAGGACAGGAATAGCATTTTTACCATGTTTAGTTCATCCATCCATCCATGCTCCAAAACCACTTGTAGGGTCAATTTATGTTCATATCAAAACTACTTACTGATCTTTGTGGTTTTGGTAGTATTCAATGTCTTTGTCTCCCTGCACTGTTCTCTTGATGAACACTGATAATGAACTCCAACTTAAAATGATGATTGCAAGGTCTAACAGATTCCACTTGTTTTTGAAATATGCCCATTTCTGCCGCTTCAACAGCTTTGCCTGTCCAACCCCAAACATGTATGGTTTAATTGGAATGAAAAGAGTATAGCAATTAAAGGAAAAGTTTATACAAAACTGAAAATTCTGTCTATATTTACAAACCCTCATATGAAAGCATATTTGTCTCACAATTTTGTCTCGTAAATCTGAGGTTATATCTCACAATTTGGACTTTTTTCTTTCAATTCTTATTTTATATAGCACAATTCTGTGTTTATATCTCACAATCAGGGCTGAGTAGTAACTGATTACAAGTAATCCAGATTACGTAATCAGATTCCAAAAAATTAAGAACTTGTATTTAGCGTATACTACATTTAAAAATGTTCACAATAGATTACAATTACTTTTTTATGGATTACTGAGTAGTAACTGATTACAAGAAATCTGGATTACGTAATCAGATTCCAAAAAATTAAGTACTTGTATTTAGCGTATACTACATTAAAAAATGTTCACAATAGATTACAATTACTTTTTTATGGATTACGTGGATTACATATTATTCATTCAGTGGTAGTACATTTTCTTTTTTCTCTTTTAAATTTTCCTTTCTAAAAATCCTACTGTAATACCATTTAGCTTTAACTATATTCACAAATGTTGTGTAAATGCATTTGCAAACCATGCTTATGACTTTGAGGGGGAAAAACACCTCTCATGCAATTAGACCATGTATGAAACAAATAATTATGCAAATTACATTGTAAACACTGGCGATGTAGCTGTGAAACACTATGTCATTCTCATATCCAAGGACTTTTACAGTAACTGTTGATTCTGGAAGTCTGGACTATAATATTTCAAACCTGGAAGGCTTTGGGCATGTGGGTTTAGAACAACATGAAGGTGAGTAAATGATGACAGAATTTCATTTTGGAGTTAAATATTTTCTTAAAAGTTCTATGAAACTATGCTAGAGAACTGACCTGCAAAAACATGTAGTAGACGATGAAGAGGAAATAAAAGACCTGAGAGGCCATGAGAAACGATTGAAAGCCACCTGTGGACTGGTAGAGACGGACACTCTGAACCACGCTGCGAAACTCAAATGCACCTGTAAAATAAGTGTAAGCTCAGTTTTGCAATAAAACAAGAAGACTTTGTATGAATGGGAATGATGGTTCTTTTTCCTCACCCACTGCAGTGCTCTCTAGTATCAGTGTGACAATGCAGAAGAGGTTGACATTAGCATTGTACACCGTGAACTCTGCAAAAACTGCCCTTGTGTACATATCCAACCAGGTGGAGTCAAAAAGATATCGAAGCTTCCTGTTGGTTAAAGAAGGTACATCGTTGGAAAAGTATGTGTAAAATAATATACAACACTTTCAGGTATGATGACAGAATTTTTGGGTGTACTATTCCTTTAAAAATTCCAAAAATGTTGTTTTTAGAGAACTGACTTGTAAAAACATGCACCAAAGGTGAAGCGTATAATTTTTATGAGTAAATCTTGACAGCATTTTTATTTTTGGGTGAACTAATAATAATACACAACATTTTTCCTTGAGGGCCTCAAAGGTGAGGTAGGCGATTTCGGAGAGGCCAGCTAGCTTTGAAAGCATAAGATCCCACTCTCCCTGCAAATCATTCTCCAAAGCCACACCTCCTCCAAAACACATGACATATGCACACAGGCAGAGCAGAGGCTAACCAGCGACACGATGAGAGACGGCATTGGTGGAGGGTTCAATGCAATGCTGTCAGATTTCCTCATGTCTCATTCACCGGTAAGAAAACATTAAAGTACAAAGCGCTAGGGCTGTCGCGATTCGTCGATTTTATTCGCTACCGCTACGATTTAATTAAATAATTATATGCGATGCACTTCTAATACAGTATATACGATTTAATTATTTACATGCGTGTAGGTTAAGTACATGCGTCACACAGAGGTTCACAGTAGTTCCACAGGAACTGTTATCATTTACATGTGTTGAGCATCTCAAACTCCATCTCTGCATGTTGTTGTGAGTTTGGGTTTATTATAACGTTCATCTGGGAATGCAACATGCACCATTTCATCAGATTTGTAAGGTAAATCATTTATAAATCTAGGCAAACACAGGAGAATAATACATCATTATCTCACAGTTTCAAAATAAAAGCTCAAACCCTCACTCTGAGTTTACACGTTTTGATGTCCACATATTCTTTTAATTACAGTGGCTATAGCATTTCTGTCCTAAAGAAATTGCCAAATATTAAAGGTTAAGTGGACATTTGAATTAAATGGTGCTTGGTTAATATTAAACAAGTATTAGATCGCACAGCAATGTGTAAAAATAATCGTCAGGCCGTTGGCCCCCCTGCAGGCCTTTGTTGTAATGCGTCATGTACATTAGCTCTATAGTTTATAATACATTATGTATTTTAACAGTTTTGTTCAATAAAACCATATGATTTCTTGC